CTCTCTCTCTCTCTCTCTCTTCTCTCTCTCTCTCTCTCTCTCTCTCTCTCTCTCTCTCACTCACACACACACACACTTAAAACTTGTTAGACACGAGTCCTGCAAATGACCCCCTTATATGTGTATGAAAACAATTAAATGATGAAGAAATTATGTAAATCAGTAATACATTTTTAAGTGAATAGGATGTTCATCCATATGTCTTTTTTGTATTGGATATGTGCATAAGTCTGTATAATTTGATATCTGAGAATGTATGTTAATGCATCTCCATGTATTATTGGGTATGTAATACTCAGAAGGCTTTAGAACTAGAAGAGAGATTGAAATCTCTCCTCCAAATAATCAGAAATCTTATATTGCCAAGCTATAATGCGATGCATGCATGTATCAAATGTGCTAATAATCATGCGTGCCAATAATGCATGTGCAACATTGTGCTTCATGGGTATTAGTTCATATAGTTTGTTGATAAGGAAATGTAGTAGTACCTAGAAGAGAGAGAGATCGCTGGCTCTTCTCCAAAAGGAGCTGGGCTTGCATTGCCAAGCTCAGCAAAGTGTTGTTCTAACCAAGTCAATCTTCGAAGCTCAACCTCCATATATATCTGATCAGCTGGATCCCCTTTGAATAATAGGTAGAACTGGGTCCTGTGCACTATTGAGACTAGGCATACATCCCATAACAGTATGATCTGCCTCCTTTGATTCTCAAACTCTAGCTTCCATGCTGATGGGGATCTGTTATTTAACTCCGAGAAATTTTGAGACTCAACCCCCTCATCAGCTGGTGCAAGTTCATTGTCTTCTTCAAGTTTCAGTACCTGAAGTCAATAAAAGAAACAGGGGTTTAGAACCTGAAAATACACTATTTTCTCCTTAATCTGAATGATAATTTGACAGGGAAATCAGAAGGGTTTTTCATATTGATTCATGCAGTAAATGGTACTTTGTCTAGAAGAATTTTCAGGCGCCACATATGATGATGCATAAAGAACTGATAAACAAATCTCCATGGTTGGTTCTAACCTGGCAAACAAGGAGCTGCTTCTGGTATTGTAGTTTAGCAACCCTCTCTTTAAGCTCTGTTACATATGCCCTAATGCCGTTGATATTCTCCTCAGCAGCATTCTTAAACATTTTCTGCATTTTTCTGACATCAACTGAATTTGATCTCTGATAACAAGGTGTTCCCTCTCTAGAGGAGGCATCATCACCACAATCACTCTTGGTTGGGGTAGCTTTCTGGGCTTCTGCCAAATTATTACCAGGCCGAACAAGCTCTTGGTTCTCTGGTGGTGGGTTATTCTCAGTCTCCACGTCCAAATCTCTCATGGATGAGGAGGATAGAGGTGAGCAGGGTGCCCTTATGAACTGCCTATTGGCATTGTTGCTCAGAGACAATGGAAGCATTTTCTTCTTCTTCTTCTTAGATTTAGCCTGCGGAGCCAAATCAGTGATCAAATTGTTCGGTAGGGAGAGAACCAACTTGTCAATTGACTTCTGCACATTTTCAAGCTGCTCTTCCAGTGTGGCAATGGTGTTATCTACACAAGTCTTGTTTTCCCTCTCCCCGTGTGTGTGAAGCCTGGTTAACTCTTCTTTGAGATTAGCACCCACACTCTTGTCTACACCATTCCCAAGCCCCCCCATGCATGCACCAGACGATCGAACAGCCCTCAATTCTCTTATCTCTTCTTGAAGCTTTTTGATGTTATCAGTGACCTCGTGGTTCATTCCAGCTTGGGCTTGCCTGTGACAAGCAACCTCCTTTTGGAGCATTTCAAGAGCTCTACTGGCATCTTCACCAAGCTCCTCTTGAAGCTGCTCGAGCTTGCGTATCTCCTGTACAAGCATCAGAGAAGAGGTTTGTGATTGCCTCATCAACGTGCTACTTCTTGTTTTGTTTACTGAAATTGGTTCCCCTATAATAACAGTGTCACTATCTCCATGTGGGGCCAGCATTGGACCAGGGAATGACAGACATTTCGCTACTCGGTGAGGTGATTCCTGAAAAATTAAAACAAAAGGCACACAGAAATCATCAACAGGCATTGTTTACTGAATTTCCCGTTCGTCAATTTCCAATTTACTTAAGAGGTGTTCTCTATTTAGACACCAAAAGGCCAAGGCAGCATTTTGTGTAATTGATTCCCCTAAGTAATAGTGTTCATTGCAACATCTTATTTACTATGTAAGTTTTAATTGTATTTTATTACATATCATATATAAATGACACAAAACTCTGAGAAAGTGACAGCCATGATGATGACAATCTCTGGACAAATTTTTCTTGAAAACAATCATAATCCCCCACATTTTTAGAAAGTGACTAAGAACTCATCATGCTAGAGATACTCCTTCTAGTAAAACCTGACAATAGTTTTCACTTTATTTTGTGAGGTGCCCCCCAACTATCTGAGAAAATTAGGGAAATGAATTCTAGTAAACAAAAGAAAACTAAGATATTGTTTTTACCAGGAATTCCTTAAGATTTTTCTTTTGAAGTTCCTCATCAAGTTCGGAACGAGCTAGGTCCCTCTGACGTTTGAGCTCTTCTATTTCCAATTCCATCTGCACCAAAAGAAACTTTCACATCACAAATCCTTCTCAAGGAATTAAACATGTGATTATCTTGCCATCTACCTGCCGAATTTTTAGTTCCTTTTCCATTACGAGAGCTTCTGAGGTACATGTGGATCTGTCTGGGGTGCGCAGCTCTGCCTCAAGCCTGGCAACTTCCTTTTGCAGATGTTTTACCAGCTGCTTTTCTGAGACAACCTGAATAAATGCAAATTTAAACAAAAAATATCGGTATCAAAAGAAGGAAATGGCATGGGCTATGGTGAAAGAGATATAAAATAGGTGATAGAAAATTATGAAGAGACATATACCATGTTGACTTGGGCACTGTTGGTGACTTCCTTAGCACATGTTGCAAAGAAGAGTGTGTTCCTTGACTGTTCCACATGGCTAAGTGCAGGACTCATGGTACAAATGATGGCAGTTCTAGCATTTCCTCCAAGTGAAAGCTGCAAGATTCGTGTGAGCTTTGATTCCCTGTATGGTATGTGACTACTGTTTCCTCTCCCATCACTGCCATGACGAGAAAAATGAAACTTAAAAGAGCCAAATAATGCATTTTTTGCCATGTACTACTATACATTGCTTAGTATGTGCATGCTTTGAACAGCCTACTCAAGCAAGTAATAAAGCAAGAGAAAGGTAGGGAGGGAGAGATCAAATGTTCTTGTTCAATGTTATTTTAAATTGTTGACTAGTATATCTATTTAACGATCTACTTCCTAGATAATCAGCAACAGATTTAATTGCATTTGACATCTACAATCGATGTTACTTTTAACACATCTTCACTTTAAACAACAGAAGAAATGAAAAAAAAAAAAAAAGAAGAAGGGAAAGCCTTGAAATTTTGTTTTGCAACAGCTTTTTGATCAACTCTGCAATATTCTTTAAAATGTTATATATGCATTTAAAATTCACAGGCTAGCATTAACAAATTTGAAAAATGAAATAATCTTAATGTTCCTTTAATTAAAATCATATTCATCGAAAGAGAATCTTTCAACGTAGAATGTGCAGCTATTCTTGTAAAACAATTTTAGAATAAAAAGTTTCACAAAACATAACAGACATTGAACCATAACATTTATTCGATACTGTATTTACATTAATCTTGTAAAAATAAGCTCACCTGAGCTTCCTTATCACTTTAGTAAGGGTTAACAAACTTCGATTAATATGGCATCCTTCCTTCAGTCTTGCTCCCTCTGCATGTGTTTGAGAAGCTCGCTCACTTCCAGCGAGGTCCACAAAATTCTGCACAGTACCGATATGATAATTAATATGCCTATCCCATTAGTATTTTCTTCAGAAAAACCATACACAGAACTCACAAAGAACTATGAACTTACCAAGCTTGCCATGAAGGATTTGACACATCCAGTGTTCTCCCGAAGACTACTCTCTACAGTCTGTAATTGATAAAGAAGATAAGGCCAAGATAAATATAAGGAAAAGGATTTATATAAGCCCGCAGGTTATACTGTAGCATAAGCCCATAGGAGCCAGGTGCATGCTCATCCTCATCCTAGCGATTAAAGATCATGGATGGTGGACCTAGGTGTTCAAGAACACAAATTATTTTTTTAAGAAGAACCTTTCGTTTTGTGAATCAAAGATGTGCAAAATTTCAGCCCATAAAAAATACATCCGGCCTTACCTTTGGCCAATAGATCTATACAATAGCATAAGCCTGCTGGGAAATAGAATCTTTTTCCTAAATAAAAATAAGCCAAGTTAGGAAAGAGAGAACCATGAGTTAAGAAAACTAACTAACCAGCCTAATTATTTGATGTGATCTTGAGCTTGTATCATTAAGAGCAGTCTCCCCCACCTGCCTTTGAGCTGACAAACATAAAAATGGAGATAATTGTCAGCATAAATGAAAAATCTACAGGTGTTCAAACAAACACAGTTCCAAATTTGATAACTTTTGTTGTTCATTGTTCAAAAAGTTAGATTTGATGATATCGACAAGTACCTTCACAAACGGCAATCAGCTGCTTCAGGTGCTGGCTATCACTAGCAGTTTCTTCAATCAGTTTGTCAACAACTGTTCCTTTCTAAGGAAACAAGACTTGAAATCAGAAACCAGCATAAACCGGTGGACTTGACAAACCATGATACTAAAATTACCTCTGGGTCATCTAAAAGCCGAAGAGGGCCAGAATCTGGCTTCAAAAGGTCCCTCACAATCTCATTGTAGATTTCAAGAGCAGATATCTTTATAGTAAAGTCCCTCTCAGGGTTCTGAAGACGAATATAATGGACCAATCAAAATGGTGAATTTGCAATTTAAAGAGTGAGATTCTTATAAAGAATATTTATTAGGTGTGTTTACCGTTCAAATAAATTAATCAAGATAGACAAAAAAAATTTATTTTTTAGCAAAGAAAAATCATTCCCCTTTTATACAACTAAGAGCTGTGATCGTTTTAACCAAAATGTACCAGTGACACCCTCATTGTGATCTCTGCCCATGTGATCCTTTCACATGTTCTAGGAGCTGTTATCTTTTTAAACAAAACATACACTCATGCAGGGTATATCTAACTACAACCGAATAACAAGATACACCCAAACAAATGGAAAAAGAACAAAAGACAAAATTCTGCTCCAACACAAGCAATGTTGATTATAAAAAAGATGGATTAATTATGCTATATCAACCAGACATGAAGATCAAGAGACAGAAATTTTACATTGTGAATTTGCCGATATATGTCATTTACAGCACACTCAGTGATCCCTCTCATAGTAAAGGTCTTTCCACTACTCGTCTGACCATATGCAAATATGGTTGCTGCAAAACGAAGTCAATGCATGATAATCAGGCTGATGTTCAAACAACTCCTGTATGAAATTCAAACTTTACAATTCTTTTTGATACGTTTATTAGATAATTCAAAGTAATGCTATCAAGGAAAATCAAGCAAAAGGTTAATTAAAAAAAAATCATAATTATACCAAAACTTCACTGAAATGTTTTCCAGTTTTACCATTGATGCCTGTGAGAGCAGATAATGCAACATCCTTGGCTCCTTCCACATATACTCTTTCGGTTAAGCATTCTGGTCTAAAAACCCTATCTGCGAAGTTATACCAAGAATACAGGTCAAAAAGCTCATTCAATTTAGAAAAAACTGCTTTACTAAGAAAAGTGTAGAACTGAAATGTAACATTATAATCAGATCAATTAAATAAATATTACCATGTCATTCTGAAAAACAGTTAAAATCCATGGGGTGCGACGATTCCTATCATTCCCAGCTTACACCCCCCATAACAAGAAAACGAAATCCCATGATTATTCTATAATTTATAATGAGAAAAAAATCCCAGTCGTTCATTGACAATAAAACAAAAATGGGTTTTGAACAATACCAAAAGTATATGAGGCTTGTGAGCTAGATCGTTCTTGAGACTGATTCTTGAATAAGATAGTGTGATCATCTGCGCATTCCCAAGCTATTTGGTCTCTTTGTGCCAACTCTTTGCTACTTAGAGGACGCACTCTTACAGTGACAAGTATTTTCTCTTCCCTTGCTTTAGGACCACCTGGTGTAGATAAAGGTGTTCTTTCTATTTTTGAAGCTGGAGTGGCATGTATCTTCTCTTCCCTTGCTTTAGGGAAAACTGGTGTAGATAAAGGTGTTCTTTCTATTTTTGAAGCTGGAGTGGCATGTATCTTCTCTTCCCTTGCTTTAGGACCACCAGGTGTAGAAGAAGGTGTTCTTTCTATATTTGAAGCTGGAGTGCTAGGAGTTTTCTGGATCGAAATAGTCATTTTAAATAATTATTGACTTTCACTGCACTTTATAAACTCCCAACACAAGTCCAGTTTTCAATTCTATTGTGGGATCTCAGCAATAGCATCAGCCACAGAGTCCTCTGAAAAACCACAAGGCCGGGTCAGTCCGGGTCAACTACTTGCAATCAACACAAAGAATCAGTATAGAGCATTGAACTTGGTATACAATTCAAAAAATAAAAAAGTAAATAAAAACCAGTGAACTTAGTCGAGAAATTAATATTTACATTGAAGCAAGAAAATCCGACACTTCCTGTCATTCCACCTCAAGAATAGATGAAAATGGTTATATTCTCTAAAGTAATAAATCACTGTTAGCCATGTATTTAGGATAGTAAGGACTGACTCTCTCTCTCTCTCTC